GGAGAGGATTAAAGAGCGATAAACAGCGGTGTTCAAACCCATCTAGAAAATTGCATGACTGGGGCAGTTATAGCCCTATCCACTCACATTCCTTTAGTGCTCTAAGAGGAAGTGCTGAAAGTCTGGGAAGATACATGTTCTTCACAACCAGTGGTGCCCTTTATTCTTATAAATATTCCATTCTGAGCCTAGAATTGCCCTCAACTGAGTGGTAGACAGCAGGAGTCCAGGATCTTGCAGATCAGCTTCTCAGTAGAAGAGAAATCAGTTATGTGAAATCCGGGTAAATTCTAAGTGTAATTTTTTTATTTACCTGTACATCAGCCCCTCAGAATCTCAGCTCAGCACCAATGTTTGGTTCCCAGAGGGCCATGCTGCCTCAGGAATTAACTCTCAGAGATCAAGGCACACAGAAATCTCTCCTAACGCTCACACAGCTCCCTCTTCACAAGACACTGACTCTACCCAGAATCTCACCTCACCAAAATCTAGCAACAACACAGCATATCTTCCCAAGGCATGTTCCAAGACTTTTTCCTCACAAGAAAAAGACTTGGATAACTATAACAGCACCACCTGGTCCTCCCTGAAATAAGCTTATCCACTTCGGCCAGCCTATACAGCAGGCCCCTGGGCAGGACAAGTAGTCTGTATCCTCCCTCTTTCTCTTCACAGGTCAGGATTCTGGGACCTTTACCCGGCAGGCTCTGCCACCCAAGCCAAGAAGCAGCAGGCTGGAGCTATTGGAATGATATGTGACCACCCACACTCAGGTACCAGACTGAAGCCAGACACCACAGACGTATGTTTGGCGCTGAGAGGCGGCAACAGCACTCCAGCTTGAGACTTATCGACTCAGTAAGCAGAACGACCATCTCACCGAGTGCTCTTCAGTACACGTCCACCCTTCTCCGGCAGAGGACATATGCTGGATCTTAGTCAGCACGGCATCACTCCCATGCTCAACCCATGTAACTACACTGAAATCACAGCTTACCACAGCTGGACAAGATTCCATTAGTGCTCTGCAAGGAGTGTTGTCTAGCGACACTCCTTCACCCATCACTGCCCTCCCCACGCGTTCCCCTGGGACATTCAGCAGAGGTCTGGGACCCGGGGAATGCAGTTCCCTGGTGCCACCTGAGCCCACCACCTCTATTCCTCTAGTGGTGGTGCCTAGCACTAGCTGTGTCTGTACGGAAGAAATCCTGGTCCTCCATCCTCCGCCCAGCATCTGCACAGCAGTGCTTAGCTTGCTGGAAGGAGCGCCATGAATCTAGCCAAAAGCTTTATGCTCCACCCGGGACCCTCCTTCACATCCCAGCAAGTGGTGTACCAAGGATAATTAAGCACTAAATTAATGTTACCGGTAAGTGTGCAAGGTTATAAAGATCTCCAAGGCAGCTATAAAAGGAGAGCTAGCAAGGACAATTGGAAGCCCTTTATAACCCAGCTGCGAGCTAGTCACCTGCGCAACTGAGACAGGCCCATAAAGTATTTTACTGAGAAGTCGAACTTCTCCTGCCAGCTCAGCTTCCACGAAACGGAGCCTGGGACCCACCTGGGTCCCGTTGCATACAATGGGAGCGGCTCTGCCCGGGGCCAGAACTGGGCAGAGATTTCAAGCACCCCCTTTACCAATGGAGTAGCTGGGGTAGTTCAATCATGCAGCAGGAACACAAAGGGCAGAAAATGACCCAGGACGAGTAGCCAACCCAGGACGCCTGGCTACTCCCAGACCAAATTCACTCCGTTCTCCTTGCTTTCCTCTTTAAAATGGAGCATGAACATCCCCAATCCCCCCAGAGTCTGGACTATCTAGGCACTAATGAGAGGGGGAGGGGAGCTGACCACAGAGCAGGGGAACACGACAGGTGTCCAGGAGAAGGGGAGCAAGATTCCTCCAAGAAAACAGGAGGAGGGTGGAAGAGCAAAGCCACATGAACGTTCCCCTCTGCCCTCCCAGAGCTGGGGTTGAGCCCTGCTCCCTCTTCAGGGATGGCAGGGGACAGTGGGGCAGCCAGCACCGTCTGCACCCCAGAGCAGCCTGACCCATCGCTCTAGGTGAAGCACACCACACAAATTGCACCCCTACACCCATTTCCTCAGGAGTCGTGTCCCCCAGCAGCAGCAGCTGGATGGGTGGACTGTGTGTTTTGGAGAGGAAAGGGGACCGGAAGGGGTGCCAAGCAGGACTGTAGGGCTGGGTGAACTTCATCGAGGGGGCTGAGGGGCACCGATTATGTCTCAGGGCAGTAAAGGGCTGAGCCACAGCACAACCCGTGGCTGGACAAGAGAGACCCAGGTGGAACAGAGGGTCTGGCTGGACTGTTGCCTATCTCCCCTTCAGATGGGGTCCCTAGTCCCTGGGGAAGGTTAGTGCTGCCCCGTGGTCTGGGGGAAGGTGTGGCTGTTACAGCTCTGCTGACCAAGGAACTCTGCGTGCCCCAGATGGCTCTAACCCTCCCAGCCCTGCTGCTCTCCTTTGCCAGTCGTCCTTCGGCTAAGGGCTGCGGACGGTGGCCACTCTCCTTAGGTCCCTCAGGCTCACAATACCACAGTCAGGATCCGTGCTTCATGTGTCCTGGGCCTGGCTCGTGCCCATTACGCTGCAGTAAGAAGAGCTGCTCTGCCATGGGCTGTCTTGCAGCCAGTCAGTCTCACCCAGCTGGGTGGAGGGGGTGGCACATGTGTAACCTGCTCACCCACTCAGCGCGGCACTCTTATCCCCTCTAGCCGGGGCTGGGCCCATACACAGGTTAAGCCTGCTGCAGCCTAGGCTGACAGCTCGGATTTGGCTCAAGTAGTAGAAGGTCACGCTTTAAGATCCAGCATCCACACCCCAGGTGTAAGCCCCACTGCAGACAACCTGCGCAGGGCACAGGCACTGCAAGTGATGGCCTGTATGGGGAACTGGTCTGCAACCTTGGTATTATCAGTTGCCAGTCTCCTTGAGCGACAGTCTCCTGACTGTGCTCCCTTGGCAGCCCCAGCTGTGACAATTCTTTATTTATCGAGCCAGCAGAGCAAGACACTTTCAGAGGGAAGTGGCTAAGTTGAACAATGCTCTTATGGCGCAGAACCTCCTGTACGATAAACAGTGTTTAATAAACTGGGCCTGTTTATATTTATGATCTGTTTTCTCAATTCCCTCCTCCTCCTCGCTCAGTCATCAAGTGGAGGGAACAGCACTGAACAATCAGCCATCAACAATCCAGTGGTGCCACTGACAGCCTGTAGGAATCAAACTGCCAGCATATTAGCTGAACGGAACTACCCAAGAACTTCACCAGGACATGAAAAAAGAAAAGGAGTACTTGTGGCACCTTAGAGACTAACCAATTTATTTGAGCATGAGTTTTCGTGAGCTACAGCTCATTTCATCGGATGCATACCGTAGAAACTGCAGAAGACATTATATACACACAGAGACCATGAAACAATACCTCCTCCCACCCCACTGTCCTGCTGGTAATAGATGGACAGTGGGGTGGGAGGAGGTATTGTTTCATGGTCTCTGTGTGTATATAATGTCTTCTGCAGTTTCCACGGTATGCATCCGATGAAGTGAGCTGTAGCTCACGAAAGCTCATGCTCAAATAAATTGGTTAGTCTCTAAGGTGCCACAAGTACTCCTTTTCTTTTTGCAAATACAGACTAACACGGCTGTTACTCTGAAACCAGGACATGAGTTACACTGGAAAACGGTAGGCTCCTGGTTGGAAGGATTACTGTAATTATAGGTATATTTGTAGCCCAGGAATAGCAGGGATTTGCTCAGGGAAGTTACTTATTAGGATGGTTAGTGGAACTTAACAGTAATCTTACAGCCCCAAGGCTCCCAGTGTGCTCTGTGGTGAACACATAGGGATCACTGCAGCTACTTCTAGGGTGGAACACACCAACTCTTTAACAGCTCACAGCTGCACAACAGTGTAAGAAAAAGAGTGAAAAACACCTTACCCTATTGAAACATACTGAGGTGATTTAGGTTGGTGGAATGTAACTGCCTGAGTTGAGATCTATGCAGAATGCTGGGGCTTTACTAATAGGATCTTTAATGATCTCAAGCAGTCAGGACCTCTATTTCCATTTCAGCTGGGACTGCATCTCTGGCAGCATAGCACCCCCTGGTGCCATGCTGGGCACTAGCTCCATGCTGACTCAGAGAGAAGAGCACCACCTACCAAACCATGCACATCACATCCCCTCGCTCCCAGGCGTCCCCTGGAGGTCTGTCATACAAGCAGCTGGCAGGACTGCAGACAGAGTAGAGATGCACATGGAGGCGAGGAGCCAGATTCTCCAGCAGCATATAGGGGCAAGGGAGAACTCCCAGCATAAGCAGCCCCACACTACCACACTCCTCAGGCCCCAGTGTTGGTGGCATGCCAGGAGTAGGAGAGAACGCAGGGATTTGGGGCTGCTGAGCAGTGCAGGGGAGGCTGCCATAAGACCAACCCTCTGGGCTACTCCAAGTTACGGTGAAGGTTGCTTCCGTCCCTGCAGCAGCCCAGAGTGCAGGCGATGTGAAGCCACCTTTGCCCCCCTGCTCCTCCCAGGCTGCACCTTCCAAGCGGGGTGTCTTCCACAGGCCAGCATCTGCCCCTCTATGGACGCAGGTGTCCAGCTGGTGGAATGATTTGTCATGCACTCCCCTTGACTCGGCCCAAGGTCCCCCTGAAGCGTGGCACATCAGAGAGACTCAGATCAGCCAGTGAGGGCCAGATTCCTGCAGCATGGCGTGGAGGCCAGGAAGAGGCAAAGAAGCCAAAGGAAAGACAGGAAGACGGCTGCCTAGGCAAGCTCTGGGCCCCTTGACAGGCTGGGCTGGCGTCTAGGGGGAAGATTTGGCTCAGACCTCATTTTCCAGGACCACCTTCACCCTTCTCTAGGTTTTATCTGGGAGGCCAAAGCTCCAGCCTGAGGATCTGAGTTCTGGATGCCCAGGGCTGTTGGGCAGTAGGCCCATCCCCGCCATAACGCCCTGCCCGGCTCACCAGTGATGGTAACAGAGGCGTGGGTCTCCTGCTGCAGCACGGGGTTCCGCACCAGGCAGGAGTAGGTGCTGTTGGGCTCCAGCACCACCTGGAGGACACTCTGCACGTCAAAGAGTCCTTCCTCATTGGCCACCTGGGAGGTGGTGACATTCTCTGTGATGTTGTTGCCCTGGCCATCCTGCCAGAGTACCGTGGCTGCAGGGTAGCCGCGGAAGGCGTGGCAGGTCACTGTCACTAGGTCCCCTGGCTTCAGGTTCTTGCTGGGCTCCAGGTTCAAGTTGGGCTTGGAATACAAAGCTGAAAAGGAGAGGAGAGCCAGTATGATGCAATGGAAGTTAGCCAGCTGGCCAGAGGTGGGCACTGATGAATAATGCAAGGTCATTTCCCCTTCCTCCCCCATGGCCTTCTCACCCCATAGTTATCACACCACTGGGACCCAGGGCACCATTCCCACCCCACCCCTTCCCTTCGCCTCAGAAATACAGCAAAGGGCATGCTAGGATAACTTTCCCACAATGCTCTCGGCTGGGAGGCCATGGAGAAGCTGACCCACGGAGCTGGAGATGGGGGAGGGAGCTGCAGATGCCCCAGACAGCTTAACAGCCTGCCAGGCAAAACGCTGAGCTGTGCAGAAACACCCCACAAAGTGCAACCCCTCTGCGCCCTCTTGCTGGGCATTGGTTTGGCTCATGGTGTCTAACCCCCAACCCAATATACATGACACCTATTCACTCTAATGGGACCTGGGGGCTGAGAACGTATGCCCTCTCCCCTCCCCATAGCGTGTTTCTGTGGACAGCAAACAGCATCTAGCACATCAGAGGCCAGGGTGAGCCAAGGGGGACTGGCAGGCTGGGGCCATCCCTTCACATGCTCCAGGCTGGGCAGCATCAACGACCCAGCTGCTGTGACTGCATCCCCATGAGGGCTAACTGCACTGGGCCGGCTACAGGATTTTGGTGCAGTGGGGAGGTCTAGGTTGGATATTGGGAAACACTATTTTACTAGGAGGGTGGGGAAGCACTGGAATGGGTTACCTAGGGAGGTGGTGGAATCTCCATCCTTAGAGGTTTTTAAGGCCTGGCTTGACAAAGCCTTGGCTGGGATGATTTAGTTGGTGTTGGTCCTGCTTTGAACAGGGGGTTGGACTAGATGACCTCCCGAGGTCTCTTCCTACCCTAATATTCTATGATTCTTTGGTGCAGTTGTTTAGCCGAGCTCCACAATGGATTCCTGGAGCTAGCAGCTTTCCCCAGGGGAGGGAGGTCAGGCAGGCTATCCAGATAATTTAAATTGTCCCCATCCCCACAGCATCTGAGAGGGGCTCTCCAGGGCAGGGGAGTACAGCAGGACGGGGTAGAGATGGGCCCAAATTGCCGAAGTAGGGGAGCCCCATGTCTAACCCTTCCCAGACCTGGGGAGGTTGGATTTCGGGTTCAAGCTCAGCCCTTATTGAAAGAGAGAATCACAAAACTCAGCTCAGGACCCTGAACCCTCCTAGCCCCCACCCACCCATGGTTGGGCTCTGGGTCAGGCAAGAGGGGAAAGAGACAGGAACCGTGTAGGAAAACAGGGGAAGGGATGGAGCGGGAGAGGGGGGGACTATGGAGAGCAGGACAGCAGGTGCTGTGGGAGGGCAGTGGGTGAGGGGATGAGACACTAGATTGCAGGGCGAACCTGGGGTAAGCCCCAGGTGAGCATGGCTCTGCCAGGGGGACATGAGGGGCTGGGCCTGCCCAGGTGTCTCTCTACAGCCAGCACCTCCTCCCGTCTCTCACCAGCCACCTGTAGCGTCACCGCCGCGCTGCTGTAGCTATGGACCCGGACAAAGCAGGTGAAGCTGCCCTCATCGGAGATCTGCACCCGCCGCAGCAGCAGCGAGACATTGCCCCGGGGCAGCTCCTCGTAGAAGAGGGCCGTGCGGTTGACATAGCCGCTGCCCTGGTCAGCCAGCTGGTCCCGCCCACTGGCAAAGCTGTGCACCAACCGCTTGGTGTCCGTCAGCTGCCAGATGAGGCTGAGCTCGGCCAGGCTGAAGCTGGTGTCAGGCAAGAAAGAGCAGTGGAGGACGGTGTCCCGACCAAAGAGGGCGATCACAGGGTCATCGGGTACCCGGATATCCACTGAGCCTGGGGGCAGAGGAGAAAAAGGCAAACAGCAGTGAGACACCGCTAAAAACACTGCCATGGCACAGCCCCTCCCAGCTCACGGCACCATGCAAACCAGGGCTAGAAGCAGAAGGCCCCTGGACAAGGGGGTAACCTCAGCCTAGCTTTCCCTTCCCCTAGACTGGGAGGGGGCCTCTGGGGAGGTCACGCTTTACCCCCCAGGACCAAAGTGCTGAGGTGCCTTTCCATTTCCTTCTCTGCACTGGAGTCAACAGGCGCTACCCACACCTGGGTTTTGCAGGATAGTGCTGCATATACAGACACAACCATTATGGCCACCTCTGGGGAGGAACATGGCAGCTGCCTGGCAACAGAACATAGCAGTTTAGGGCAGGAAGCAAAGGAGCACTCTGAACCCAGCTGGCACTGCTGGAGGGATTTGAGGAAGGCAAACTACAGTTAGAATTTGGCCAGGACACTACAGGTTAACAACCCTGCCTCTTCTGATCCTTAATGATCACAGTGGTCAGGATGTGAGCTCTCACCCAACAGCACAGCATCCCCTGCTGCTGGCCAGAGCTGGCTGTCAGGGAAGAGTGCCCCCTATTGATTCACCAGCACTCTGTCCTGCAGCGCTCTGTTTTACTTGGAGGTCTCCCATCCCAGCAATGACCCAGCCAACCCTGCTTAGCTTGTGGGAGCTCTCAGGAATACAGCTCACACTGGTGTGATTGCAGAGAAAGCACCATTAAATCACAGCATCCATACCAAGTCCCTTTGGGTTAGGGCATGCCAGAGCTGAGCCAACACAGCCTGCTGCAGCAAGAGCCAGTCTCAGCAGGCATCACAGAATAGGCACCCACATCTGCACCACTGCTGCCCTCAGCTGGCCACCACCACTAACTGAACCCTCTTCCAATGGCAGAGACCCATGGATGGCGCTGCCCAAGGGGAATCGCAGGGTACGGATCAGCTACCCAAGCCTAGAGGGGACCTTCTGCTCTGCTCAGCTCAGCATTGGTGCAGGGTATTCATGGCTGTAACTTCTGCCTGGGCAATGTGCCTGTAAGTCAACCCACACCTTCCTGCCAGTTCTGCGATATTGTTAGCAGCATGCCCTACAGCAAACAAACATCCTCTGCTGAAATCCTCTTCCATTTAGGTCTCTCATCGCCACAGGGTGCAGCCATCCTGAAAGAGTAACTCAGCATTACTAACGAGGGCAGCGGTCTCCTTTTATACCCAGGGCTCCTGCCTTGGCTGTAACAGGAAGGTGCTAGCAGGAAAAAAGAGTCTCCACATATTTTACCCTTGGCTGTGTCTCTGCTGTCAGAGGAATCTGGAGACCAAGCTGACGTTAGCATGCTGTACCGGATGTTATACCAACAAAGATTCAACCCAATTGCTAAAGTGACAATAGAGGTATCGGTCCCAAAACATTATTATTGATATTCCACCACTGCCCAGTGGCTCTAGCTGAGATCAGGACCCCATTGTGCTAGGTGCTGTACAATCACATAGTGAGACAGTCCCTGCCCCAAAGGGCTTACAAGCTAAAGAAACAAGAGACAAAGGGTGGGAGAGGAAACTGAGGCACAGAGCAGGGATATGACTTGTCCATGGTCACCTAGCAGGTCAATGGCAGAGCTGAGAGGAGAGCCCATATCTCCCAAGTGCCAGGACAGTCCTTAGGCACCAGCTATCTTTGGGCATTTAGGGGAACATTCTCAATGACCCATGTTCTCTCAGTGAAGGGTGCATGAATGTGCATGTGTACACACACACGCACGCACGCTCTATGCTTTGCTCTAAAGAAGCAACTTGATTCTGGAGGAACACACTCTGTTCTTTTCAACTCTATTGCCACCATTCCAGAACTAACATGACATTTCCCGTCTGTTCTCTGTGGATCTCTTTCCCCTCCCACGATCTCATTCAGACAACAGACAGTGACACAGCCCTGTGCATGTATCCCCACAGGAAGGAGTCGTTCTGAATCTGGCTTTAATGGCCCTGACCGTACTGCCTCAGGATGAATGTAATTTTGTACATTTCATCACTCTGCCAGTTTCCCGTCTTGTGGGGTCTGAGTTAGATGCCCATCTACTTCAACCAGCTTCACAGATGCAACCATTCCCTGCCTCTGCAATTCTCCCAGCTGCCTTTCTCTGGCCTCCTGCTCAGCTCAGGGGCAGGGCGAGCCTGCACAAATGGCACTTGCCCACCGCATGCAGCTCTGCCAGCACAGCTTTTACCAACATTCCCGTTTCAAATATGGATTGACAGAAAACAGAGAGATGGGGAGAAAAAGGGATTTAGAAATTATCCGGATATGAACGAGGCCTGATCTATACTCCAGAGTTAGGTCGACATAAGGCAGCTTACATAGACCTAACTCTGGAAGCGTCTACTCTACAATGTCGCTCCCGCCGATGTAACTCACCTGCTACGCCAACTTAATAACTCCACTTCTACGAGAGGAATAGCGTTTAGGTCAACATAGTTAGATCGATGCAGCATCAGCGTAGACACTGCATTACTTATGTCAATTTTAGTGGCCTCCAACAGGTGTCCCGCAATACCCCACACTGCCAGTCTGGTCACCGTTTCGAACTCTGCTGCCCAGCCGCCCTTTTAAAGCCCCATACATTTTTGAAATTCCATTTCCTGTTTGGTCGTCATGGATAGTTCACATAGCAACTGCCCAGTTGACCCTGCTGGCTCCATACAGCAAACATGTTCCTGCCTGGGCTACACAGGAGGAGGGGGATCTCCTAGGTCTGTGGGGAAAAGAGGCTGTTCTGGCATGACTCTAATCCAGCAGTAGAAACAGCGACATATAATGAGCAGATCGCCCCAGGGGAAAGGACTACGACAGGGACCCACAGCAGTGCTGTGTGAAAGTCAAGGAGCTGTGGCAGGCATACCAGAAGGCAAGGGAGGCAGTCACTCTGGTGCAGAGCTGCAGACATGCCGCTTCTATAAGGAGCTGCGTGCCATCCTTGGCAGCGACCCCAAGTTCCCCATGGATACTTTGGGGGAGCTGGAGACACAGGCCCCTGCAATGCACAGTGAGCAGGAGATGTTGGGTGAGGAAGAGGAGGAGGAGAAGTATGGGGGACAGGCAACCAGGGAATCCAGTGGGGTGGCCAGCCAGGACTTCTTTCTGATGCCACAACAGTCGAGCCAGTCCCTACCATCCAGCACCAGCAAGCCAGATGCAGGGGAAGGAACCTCTGGTAAGTATGCAGTTTGCTTTGATATTGCAGGGACACATCTGTTCATTTACTATTTTTTGATCAGGCAACAAGAGGTAGTGAAATAAACAGTGGAGGTAGAGTTACTGTCTGCTTCTCATTCCCCTGTACAGTTAGACAAAGGGGGCCCTGTGAAATAGTTTGTTTATGCGCACTGGGATGTCCCATGAATCCTCCACAGAGATCTTCAGGAAACTTTCTTGGAGGTGGTTTGCAATCCTCTGCCAAAGGTGTATGGGAGGGTGCTGTCTTGTTTCTTCCACTGCAGTAGGACACTATCCCACACCACTCAGCAATTACTTCAGCAGGCACCATTGCAGCACACAGGCTAGCAGCACGCAGACCCAGCCTGCAGCCGGACGTGTGCAGGACCTGTTCCCTTTCAGCCTCTGTTACCCTCAGGAGTGAGCTATCAGCTAAAATCACCACCGCCTGTGGAAAACGGTGCCAGTATTCGGTTCAGTTGCTGTATCTGCAACCACTGATCCCTATGTGCTCCCCGACCCTTACTGTCCCAAATTAACCGCTCCACCAGGCAGTACTCACCATGGCTGGGACTACTGCCGTGCTCTATGAATCCCAAAGGGAAGTGAGAATGTAGTGCTTGTAACGTGTGTGAATCAAGGGGAGTGAATACACTCACAATAGTACCTCCGTGCATTATGTCTTTTGCAGATGGAAATGTGGCCTTGAGATCCCTCCATCCACATCAGCAGAGCGGCTCAGCAAGATAAAGAGCAGAAGAAAGAGGACACAGGACAACATGTTCTAAGAGATCCTGCAAGCTCTGATGCTGCAGATACCAAGCAGAGGGCTTGGAGGAGCCGCCTTGCAAACAGAATGGAAAGGGAGAGTGTGGAGAGCAGAAACGCGTATCAAAAGGACAGAGACTCAGCAGGACATGATAGCACTTTTCAGTGACATGTTGGAGACTCTTACAGACCTTCAGGTGGAAAGAATGGTTGAGTTTAGAAAGGGGTTCGAGCAGATTATGGCGCAAAGGCATGAGGTATCTGAAGGGAAAAGCTCAGACTTGCAGATGGAAGCAGGACTGAGGAATTCTGAGGGGAGACTGGGTGAGGAAAGTGGTCAGTGGAAGCATGTTACTAAAAGAACCAGGCAGAGAAAAAGAAGGGCGAGTGAATGAGAAATAGAGCTCAAGAACCGGTTTGCAGAGTTGGAAAATGACGAAGGGGCTCAGCAGGTAGTCATTGAAGGTGGAAGGGCAAGGAAGAAGAGAAGAACGGCTAGTCCTATAGGAAAAGGGGAAGAGGCAATGGAGACTATACCAAATATGAGCCCCAGGAGGATACAGGATGGGTTGAAGAGGATTACAAGGGAGAATAGGAATGTAAAGAACTTGCAGCCAGAGGGGACAGGGGATAGACTGGAGAATAGCACCGTCACCAGGAAAAGGCAGGTCTATGTGATCGGGGACTCTTTGCTGAGAAGAATAGACAGGCCTGTAATCAGAGCTGATCCAGAGAATAGAAGGGTGTGCTGTCTTCCAGGTGCTAAGATAGGGGATGTAGACCTGAGGTTGAAAAGGATCCTAAAGGGAGCAGGAAAGAATCTCCTAATTATCCTTCATGTGGGAACAAATGATATGGCTAGATTCTCGCTGGAAAGTATTAAGGGACACTATGCTAGGCTGGGGAAGACGCTTAAGGAAATCGAGGCTCAGGTGATCTTTAGTGGGATTCTGCTTGTTTCTAGAGAAGGGCAACAAAGGTGTGACAAGATTATGACCATCAACAGATGGCT